TCTCCATTTTGCCTTCCTGAAGTAATGACAGGATTTCTTTTTTGCCTTATGGCTTCTTGCTTTAATTTGATTCCAGCTTTACTCACATCTGTTCAAAGGGAGGGAGGAATAGGCTAAATACTACTGTTTTGGTCACAGTGAAGTAGTGATTTAGTAGCAGACTGATGTCAGCTTTCATGTTCCTTCTGCAGGTAATAGTGGCTAGTCAAGGTCTGAAATGGTGGAAAATCAAGTCTGCTGTCTTTGATGAGACAGAATTTGCCTTCATGTGGAAAAAATTTATTCCCACCAGCCTATTAGCAATTCACATGAATTATTTTCACACTCCAACATCCTTGCTTAAATCTTACTTATACTTTTCATTGTAATTGACAGACAGAATATACATTAACCTAAAAACAGGAAAAAATTATGTTAGAGGGAAACTGTATTAAAGTAGTACAGATTTTACTCAAAGTTTGATTTCACTGTAGGACGTATTTGGTTCACCAAAAAGTGCTATGGCGGCTGGTATAACTTAGATATATTTCAGACATAATGTTTAATAATCAGAAAAGGTTTCTGAATGTTCACAGGAGAATGGCAATCTGTTTCTGCTTTTGGATATAGTACATATGAAAACCTTTTCTTCATTTTGCCATTTAATCCAAGATTGATCCTCAAGAAAATGTCAGTAATTGATCTTGTAACTTTAGGATCAATAAAATAAGTTTTAAAGCACAGCATATCCTATAAGAAAAGCCTAATGCTCTTCATTTCATATTCCTTATTGTTTTAGGTGGATGTCTAATAGCAATAATAACTGAAACTAGTATTTAATTACCATTTTTATTACAAAAACTTGGTTTTCAGATACTTAAAACTGGTACAAGAGGAACCATGGTATAAAGTTCCAGGTTTTACCATGAAGTTGAGTCTGTTTCCTTAAGTCAGGTATTTCTCAGTTACAAGATGTTCAGACATTTTAGATAAATTCTGCTGGCAAAAATGTGTTCGTTTTGTATGATGGCACTCTATACGTGTGTCAGAGTTACCTCTCCTTAATCCAGGCACATATTTCCAATTAATATGCCTAAGGGTAGGATTCAAATTTGTCATGATCACTGTCCAGTGTTGAAATTTCTTCATTATCTCTCAATAGTTAATGGCATGGGACTAGGGCTGGTGTATGTTCCAAAGTCAGCAGTAGCTCATTTAATAACAGTTTGGTAGATAACAGATGGACTTCAGGAAATCCACAGTGGATTTCCAATGGAGTGCTGGGGGAAAATCTTCAATCACCTGTTGCAACAATTCAGCATACAATGTTTCCCACCCCAAAGGAGGCACTGCCCAAACAAAATAACTAGAAGAAATCTGAATTTTAAATTGAGCACACTGTGTTCTCGTTCTTACACTACCAGTTCTGAAATTCTTCCTTTGCATAGCTTTTGAAGAGTGAAATCCTCAAATTGGTCTTCTAAAAATGTGATTTGAGTAACTGCCTCGCTGTCTGTTGGCCAGGTGTGCTGTGTAATTTCTAGCCAGTGTTCAGGCACCATGGGGAAGTTGAAGTTTCTGGCTATATTTCACTGATGTCAGCCTAGATACTCTGCCATTGAAGACCAATTCATCTAAGAAGTCATAACTCTCTTAGGTGTATCTCCTTCACAGATGAAAGTCTTGCTGTCCTGTTCCATTCCTTTTTCATACCCAAATGCCTTAAACTTCAGTGAATTTACCTTGAGGCAGGAGTGGAGATGACGTTACAGTTTGCCACTACTTTGATTGTGGAATTTTAGATACCTGGAAGACCTCCTTAAGCTTTGTGGAAGGGAACACTTCTAGTGAAAAACATCTACTGACTCATCACCAGAAGACAGAAAAGTCAAGTGTAGATGTATTCCCATAGCAATACAACTTAGCAGAATTCCCAGGGTTTCACTTACGGACTACTTCTGGCACAGGTCTGTCTGATGGGGAAATTAATTTAATGGTGTTTGCAAATGAATCATAATTTCACTTCAGCAGGTAGGATTTAAACACCTACTAAATACCTCGAGCATCCTCACCAGTTTGTCTCCTCTGTGGCCACTGTTAGCAGAGGATAAAGTAAAGTGTGGGAGGAGAGAAAGCTTATCATGATCCTCTTAATGGGTTCAGAGGACTAAACGTTCCAAAGCATTCATTGGTTTTATATTAAGATTTGAGAATGGAAGAATACCTATAGTATCTAAAAGGATTATTTTCCAGGGTTTATATTTTTGGAAATCTAATACTTAGGTTTAGAGAAGGTTCTTTCAGAATTTGCTTTTTCTTCCAGGTTCTACATTTTAAATGAAACTCATCTCACAAAAATACTCAGTGAAATCTCCAGGCATTTAAATTATTAAATTTAGGGAGATTAAGTAGAGCTGTCCTACAAATTACTGAGTGCCACCAATGCCTGTAGAGGTCATATAAGGAATTTGACACATGGTGGGGATGAGGCCTTACTTGCCAACATTCAAAATCTGGCATTTTGTCACAAATGAAGGAGGCAACAGCACAAAGTTGTGCTACGAAAAAAGGAAGTTACAGGCAATCAGACAGTCATGGATTTTGGATGAGGTATGTACAGTCTCAAGGTCTGTGCAGCTGCCATCCATTCATGATTAAAATGTATGCCCACACAAGGGATTGTCAGTGGTGGAGCTGAGTAGAGGCTGATGTTGCTACACATAGGTCCAATGGCTCCTAAAAACATGGAAAAGTCCTACCAAAAGAAACTCGTATTTCAGTAGAAAGGAAAGAGCCACTGAGACAGTTCTATTTCCTTGCATTTTGGAATATTTACCATTCATTTCCTGAATGACACAGAAGCTACTGGTGTATGCAGATTGTCTAAATTAAACACCTAGGAAAATAGGAAATGGAAATGTAAGTGTTGAAAACTACTTTATCTGTAGTAAAACCTTTTGATGTGTAATCAAAAGTTATGTTAATCCCAGTAGCATATCCTCCTGACCTGGGCAGTCAAAATTACTAGAATTGAAAAAATTGCTACCACTAAAATAAGATGGAAAGATTGAAAAAAAAAAAAATCATATTCTTGAAAAAAAAATCATACTCTGCTTTCTGATTCATCTTTTGCTCTAAATCAAAAAGAAATTCTGATGTAGCTCTTTGTGAAACTGTTGCTAAGAAATATGGTTTGTTATTCTGAATGGAACATAAGGGTGCTTTTCTCAACAAAGTGGGAGATAGATGATAGCTGCACAGAAATGCATTTGGCTAGCACAGAAACTTCCTTATCAGTGAAGCCCTTGGAGAGCTACTAGAAATATATTGAAAGGCAGCATCATCACCCAGGTTTACCTGGACCATTGTGAACTGCATTGAGCTTCATATTCCCCTAGGCAATGGAGTTTGTCTTGTCAGTGGGAACAAGCATCTGTCTCTTGTGACAGTAATCCAGGATCTGGGTATGTGCAGGGAGCTTCTGGCCCCTGAGAGTCAGAGAGCTGTGGCACCGTGCTGTGTGTGTGTCAAGAGCCAGGTGAGGTGGGACAGTTCTATCTCACAACAATGAGGAAAGCAGATTGCTGTCACAATGCCAAGACTTGTTATGCAGTGGTCCTGTAGCTTGGCTACATTTGGGAAGCTGCTTCTGGGTCATTTCTGCTAAAGCAAGTTGTTAAAGTCAAGTGGAATGGGAAAAGAAATAAATGTCTTTATTGCTAGCCTCTCCCTCCCCTTCCCCCTACAAAAACAGTAAGTGATCCAGTTGCAGACCTTCACAACAGGAGTGTTAAATTGTGTCTTGGGTTCAATATTTATCTTCTCTTAGCAGCTTCTCCAAAGGAACAGCACACTGTCTGTTGCCTCTTTGCTTATGGGTAGAGCCTGCTAATGGATACTGAATTACTCAATCAGCTGGTGGGGCAATAAATAGAAATGACCAACAAATGATACTTAGCACATTACAAGAGCAATGAGCTGCTCTGGGCTGTCCTTGAAGGACTGTGGCAATTCTTACCTGATTGAGGTCAGCAAGATCTAGAGGTTCAAGAATGAGGATACCTTTGGGAAGTTTTCCTGGATGAATTTACCTCAGAAGTCAAAAAGCAACTGTTCCTGTGTTTCAGTAAATGCTTCTTGGCATCCAAGCATGAAAAGGAAAAAAGTATAAACAGGGAAGAAGTGTTGATTAATTCATGGTTCATTAATTTTTCATCAAGGACAGCAAAAAGACAAACATTAGTGTTAACATCTTAGATTTGGAGAATTGCTTCATTGTAAGAAGTTTTGAAGCTGACTGATAAGAAAGCAGCAGAAAATGCACCAAAAGAAAATTGATATTTCAGAATGCTAGTGTCAGAACATTCATAATGTTAGCAAAGGCTAACAAGACCATGAATTTCATCTTCCCTAATACATGTAGCTGGAAATGCAGCAAGTCTCTATACGGTATTCAAAAATTTCTATACATGACTAGACTAGACTTGTGGTCCAGTACTTTCTGTGTTCATGGCTACATGTTGGGACTTTTCAGTGGTGTGTGTCTGTGTGTGTGTGTGTGAAAAATGTGTACACTGGCTGTGGGCAGATGGCCATCTTCATCTTCCCTACTGCCACTGCAGAGCCAAGCTCACTCATTCTGTTCAACACTGCAGCAGAGCATCAGAGCACCCCCACTTAGGCACTAAATCTCAGAAGTGCAGGCACTGCCAGCATCGTGGTGCCACACCTGACTCTTCTCCCATCACACTCCAAGGGGGGCCCCAGCAGAACCTGCAGGTCTGTGCACAGAAAGATTCCACCAGTTTTTCCCAGAAAAAAAAAAAAAAAAAAAAAAAAAAAAAAAAAAAAAAAAAAAAAAAAAAAAAAAAACAACCAAAAAAAAAAAAAAAGCAAGCAGGGTGCTGTTCATATCTGCAGTTCTCAGTTTATGCTGCAGACCCCTGGCATCCTCAGCAGCAGAGACCCTCAGTGCACCCAATGGTGCAGCACACTAGACTTTTGTCAGGTTCCAAAATAAATGCCTTTTTTTCCTGGAGGAGGATTCGCTGTCACAAGAACGTGTGGAAGAGAAACCAAAGCACTTACAGAGTTATGTAGTTTGAGGTAGAGAGGGCCAGGGTGCTGTCCTGTGATCTCCAGCCCCTACAGCTTATCACCTGATGCATATTGATGCGTGGGGAAGCAGGGGGAGCAGAATGACAATCACATTGACCAGTTAAATGAAATACTACTGGACCAGCCAAGGGGCAGATAGAGAGTTAAAGCACACAGAGGCAAAATAATCCTCATCCTGCCCTCTCCTGGGCACATACCTAGAGAACTTCAATAGGTAGAGATTTTGTGAAGGGACGATTCGGTTGCATCAAGTGGAAAGAAAACCCCGGGTTACAGCAGAAATGTCAGGGTATTTCCCTCCCAGAATGGTCAGCTTGCTACAGCAATATAGAAACACAAAAGAAATTCCCAGGAAAGGTAATGCAAATGGAGAAATACAGCTAAACCCATCTAAACAGAGTAGAAGCTGATCTCTTAAAATTCCACACCTTGTCTTTCTTTTGAAACAGTCACATCATTTTGTTCTTTGCATTTTCAGCTCGAGCTCTCAGGAAAGATAGAAGCTGGTAGGAGACAGACACTGATAAAGGCTGTACTGGCAAAGTGTCAGGTAAAGGGAAACCATTTTTACATTTCTGCTCTGACAAGAGAGGACAATATATTCTAGACTGAAAGCTTAGATGGCAGAAGCAGCAGTGATTAATTGCTCTAATTAGGGCTCCAAATAGGAAAGAGTGAGTTTCCTGAGCTATTGCATGCTAAATTTCCTCGCTTCTATGAATAACTGTATTGCTCAGAGGAGATGGGCATCAGAGTGCATCACCAGAACAAACATTTACCCACTTCAACCTAGAAATGCCACTATGGCCTCAACACAAATAACTAATGCAAAGAGACATTTTGGCACCTGGGAGGCAGTGTTAACAGTCCAGTTCCTCTGCTTCCCTAAAGAGATCATAAGTCAGAGAATCACAGAATCATGGAATGGCCTGGATTGGAAGGGACCTTAAAGACCAACTACTTCCAACACCCCTGCCATGGACAGGGAGAGCTTTCACTAGACCAAGATGCTCAGAGCTCCATCCAATCTGACCTTGAACGCTTTGAGGCATCTGGAAGCCACAGCTTCTCTGTTTCAGTGCCTCACCACCCTTATAGTAAAGATTTTTTTTCTTCTATCTAATTAAAACCTACTCCTTTTCAGTTGGAAGTAATTTCTCCTTGCATGTCACTACATGTTCTTGGAAACATCTCTCCCCTTCTTTCTTGTAGGCTCCCTTCAGTTACTGAAAGGCCAAATTAGATCACCCTGAAGCTGCCTCTTCTCCAGGATGAAAAATCCCAGTTCTCTCAGCCTTTCTTCATAGGAGAAATTCTTCATTCCTCTGATCATCTTGGTGGCCTTCTCTGGACTTATGCCAACAGGTCAATATCCTTTCTGTGCTGGATAAAAGTTCATGTACTCTGAACCCAGAACTGGATGCAGTGTTCTGTACTCAAATGCATGCATGAAAATGGGTGAGCTCCTAGTCTACCACACCACCACTTGCTGGTTTCGGTGAACTCTGAATTTCTGCTGGCCACCAAAGCATTAACAGGAGATTTTTCTGTAACAGGGCTGGTATCTTAATCCTTTTGTGTTCTTTACTGATGTTTATACCCTTCCACCACCACCTGCCTTTCACCCACCAGTGAATAAATGTCAGGTCCTGATTCTTAACACTTTGATGTGGACAAATGGAAATAAAATCACTACAATCAATAGAATTACTCAAAAAAACCTACCTTATATCACTAGAAGGAGAAAAGATCACATAAAGCACTGACTGTCAGCTTTGCAAAATGCAAAATGCATTATGGGAAATTCTGAGTACATTTCTTAAAAAAAAAAAAAAAAAAACTGGAAAGTGTTTAGCAAAAAAAATCCCACAACATTATTGTTGGAATATATCCTACACAGCCCGAGAGTCAGCCAACTTTAGCAACACTCTTCTGTCATATGCAGGAAAAAGCTTTTGCTTCAGCTGAGTCCAGCTGCTTCTTATTGACAATCAGATGTACTGGCACAGAGAGCATCTAATCTGGATTGTGGCCATCTACAAGTAGCTAGAAGCACACAAATAATAATGGTTCATCATTGCACACTGATTTATATGAGGCAGGCAGTGACATGCATATGTCCATTATTTTTCTTTCAGTCTTTGTTTGAACTCCTCACTTGCCTGACTAATAAAACACACTGATAGAGGCCACCAGCAAAGGAGGAGCTTAGCACTGGTGAATGCCAGCAGCAATTCACATTCAGTAAGTACAGGGTTCCTGTCACTGCCTGTGCCTGTCAGAGGAGTTTCTACAGTTCTACATCACTGGAGAGGCTGCCATCAGGTCTGCAGAGGATTGCAGGCTGGTCTGAGAAATGTTCCTACTGGTGAAGCAAAGCAGAGCAGAAATATGCAAAGCAAACCTCGCTGCTGATTGTACCCTCTCATTTGTATGCTCAGCACTCTTCCAGTAATGAATCATCAGCCCAAGTTCTGCTCAGCTCATCATGGCTAGAAATGCTGCAATAGCATCAAACCGGGTGGGGGGACACGGATTCATCTGCAAATGACCAAGCAGGGGTGATAGTGGATGGCTATGGATCTGGCAAAATTACACCTTGCTGATGTTGAAAGTGTCATAATATACAGGTATCCATGGCAGAGGTGAATAGACAAGAGATATGCCATGACAAGGCGCATCAGTGGTGAAACAAATACTGCTCCCCTCTAGTCAGAGTACTCTAGAATGCAGCAAAGTTACACAGCTATGTCCACATTCCCTTTAGTGAGGAAAGCTTTTCATGTCAAGGCAGGCAGAAGCAATGTCAGCCATGGGGAAAGAACACTCCATCCCTTTCCAATAATCCAAACAATCTAGGGGAAAACCACAATGCTTTAGACAAAATGCTTCATACATTCCCAGCCAGAAAGGCATACTCTGTTCCAGGCATCTGCAGCACTTACATTAACTTGGTGCCTGGAAATTGCACCCTGGTGAGCAACAGAAGGGAACTACCAGTCCCATGGACACCTGAGACCAACTATGAACATTTTCCTAGTGATCCCATCTCTGGAAAAAGACACACCTGGCCTGCCAAGAACAAAGCTTACAAGTGGAGATAACAGAGCAACACATAGGTTTTTTTTCCAGAATTTTATGATGAGAGAGTGAGGGAGTTTTTGTTAATAGCTCAGTTTTAGTTACAGAGATTTATGCATCAGCTTAGCCAAGTGGAACAAAGCAGAGGGCTGGAAGAACTGGAGGGACACACCAACTCTCAGGTACTGCCTTTTGCCAAAGTTGAACTCATGCAAGATTCACCCTGTTTTGGTGCCCTTCAGGGGAATAACAACAGGTGAACAAATCCCAAATGCAGAGGAAATTAAAGATACACTGATGCCATATATAATAAAGGGGAGACATGTCTAAGTACAGTTTCAAAATTAAAAATCTAAAATCAATTTTGCAAGGTAACATTTCGACATGGAGCCATTTGTCTCCAGTGTCAGTGGTCTCTCAGCTCCTAGAGGATCTTAGTACCTTCCTGTTTTAGAGGACTACATTAGGTCTTTGAAAGCTTTATCACCAAGGAAATTGGGGAACCTTCATAAAGCCAGTCCTGAGGGAACAAAGATAGTTTGGTTTCCTGTTTTGTCCTGATCCACTAACAGCAGAGCTGAAAGGGGAACAATGGCAGGATCACATGTCATCTTCAGATACAAGGAAACATTAGATGTGAATAAAGGGATGATTAAATGGAGATAGAAAAGGAGGTGAGGAACTTGAAAAAAAAATGGGTTTTTAGGAGAGCTGGGGTAACATAGAGATCACAACAGCTTTATTCTATAAAATACACAGACTGGCCATGCATCTAACTTAATGACTGGAGAAGTTATTTCCTCCCCCATGGGTTGACCATGTGGTTTTCCTCAGACTATGTATGCTCCTTTTCCTCTACCTCAGTTCCAGAAATTGCTGCCTTTGCCATTTTTGCTGCCTGGCAGTGTTGTGGAAGGAGGCAGCAGCTCTCCATGCCATTACAACCAGGACAGATAGGGCCAACAGGCTGATAGCCCTGCACAAACACATTAGCTCCAGGAATTAAGACACTTCCTTTTCCTGCTGTATTGTTGCTAGGGAGCTCCTGAGGTTCCCCTGGATACCATGCAAGAGATAATAAAATGCTGTCATCTGTCTGAACTGAGCAGTAACTGCTACCAATAGTTTCTCTTGTTTTCTCTCTCT